TGCAGAATTATTCACTGTAGCCAAGTTATGGAATCCACCTAAATGTCCCTTAATAAATGAGTGGATAAAGAAAATGTGGTATATAAATACAATGGAATACGATTGAGCTTTAAAATGAAATAAATTCTGTCATTTGTGATAACATGGATGGAACTGGAGAACATTACACTAAGTGAAATCAGCCAGGTATGGAGAGTCAAATACTGCATGTTTGTATTTCTACATGGCACCTAAAACAATTGAACTTAGAGAAGCGAGGATAAGTAGAGTGATGCTGGAGGAGAGGAGTATTGGAGAATTTATAGTCAAAGGGTACGAAGTATTAGGAGGAGTAAGGTTTTTTTTTGATTGTGTGACTTATTAACAGTAGTGTGTTGTACAATTCAGAATTACTAAGTAAATTCCAAATGTTCTCACCATAAAAAATGACAGGTATTTGGTGTGATAGATATGTTAATTAACTTGATGTTTTCATTGTACATTGTGTTTGTAATTTATAGCATCATTTGGTACTCTATAAATACCTAAAAGTATAATTTGTCAATTTTATAGCAAGATAAAAAAACAAGTATGTGAGGTTCTTAGCAAAGGTAAGCAAAGAATTTTTAAAAGTCCATTTATGAACTCATGCATTTTCACATGTAGATGTTAATACATTCCATTCCATTCTAGTCCTTACTGTTTTTTTGTGGTCACATATTTTCTTCTTTGTTCAATGAAAGTCTCTTCACATTTGTTCTTGTGCTCATTTGATACTTTCCCCAGTTGCTTTCTTACACACTAGTTGTTTTGTTTCAGGCTGTTTTTATTTCCTGTCCCATCAGAGTTTTTCAGGGAGCCCTGACTCCTCCTAGGCCTTTATTTGAACAGATCTTGATTTCTGTTTTTGGAAAGAGAATTGTGATACTGGAAGGATCTAGTGATATTCCCAATTTATATTTAGGATTATGGAATGTTTACATCTTTAATTTTATATTTGTATTTCTTAAGTAGAAAATAATGCTTTGCACATTCTAATGTCCATGAATTTCAATTCCTAAAGTTAAAATAAGCAACACCAATTCTTCAGCAGCACAACCTTAGCAATATGGCAAAACGCTGTCTCTACAAAAAAAAAAAAAAAAAAAATACAAAAATTAGCCAGGCATGGTGGGAAGATCACCTAGCGTAGGAGGTTGAGGCTGCAGTGAGCCTGGATCTCACTATTGCACTCCAGTCTGGGCTCAAAAAAGATATGTATTTGTCTTAGTTACCATGATATAGTACTGATGACTAATTGCATAAAGTACGAGCTTCACTTTTGACTCCTCAGTCCAGAGATCACTGAGTCAACCACCTGATTGTCAGATGACCAGTGATCGATACGACATCACTTATTCAGAGTCTGTTGGTGACTGATCACTGCACATCTGCAGTTAGTTCACACACAAACAGCAAAGGATGTGGTTGTGTTTCTCCTTGTCAAAGTTAATTTGCTTGTTACCACCAAACACAGCGTCATTAATCCAGCCATTGTGCCATGGCCTTACTTCAACTTTTTAAGCCTGTAATCTTAGGTGAGCTTTTAGACCTGTTGTTATTGCTATGTAACTGGTGATCATGCAGTATCTTCGGTTGAGGTTTTGAAGAAGTATGTCAGAACACATGCAGATGAAAACATTTGAGCATAGTGGCAGGAAGTGACCCCAGGCTCTGCACGTGTGATACTGCAGAAAATCTGCTGCACCATGGCTCTGTGGGAAGCTGAGGAGAGCAAACGGATTGTTCACAGTGCGGCCCTGCCCTGCCCTTCAAGCCACTCATGGTTTCAAGCCAGAGGAATTGACTGAAGTTGAGTTTGCTGGCAAAAAAGGGGAAAGTCTTTTCGCATGTTCTTGAAAATCAGATTCTCAATATGGAAGAAAGAAGATGTAGCTGTAGTATCCAAGAGCTTAAAGAAAACATCTTGTGTTACTGACCTGGAATTGGCAATGTCAGTGTGAACTCATGTGTTACCTTGTGTGTGGGTACACACACACACACACACACACACTCTCTCTCTCTCTCTCTCTCTCTCTCTCTCTCTCTCTCTCTCTCTGTCCTTCTCTGTCTCTCCATTTCTTTCTTTTTATTCTTGCTCTGTCCAGTGAAAAGACCTAGAAACAATGTTCAGTACAGTGGATGAGCGTCTCATGATTGGCAATGAGCATCTCGTGATACCAGTTTGCAGTAAAATCACCAGAGTCTACTAGGTTCATGTCGCCCGGGCTCAGGCACCACATGAAGAGGCTCCCATTGGCCAATTATGGGGCAATCTGAGATTCTGTAATAATAACAACAATAATCATTACATGTATTGAGACTTAACAAATGCTGCTGTTGACCCCATTGTTCACCATCTGGGAATGGCAGTGCCAGTTCATTGTCTGGAAACATGGGTGAAGAGCAACAGGGAGCCACCCTTTCCTACAGGAGCTGTCCTACTGGGTGACCACACCCAGCCCACAAGGGCGGAAGCTGCTCTGTCTACTTTCTTTTCAGCTGAAAGTAGAAAGGAGGACAGATCATCTCTCTCTACACCCGCCTGTGACATGGCGTGTCTTAGTGCTGAGCATGAGTGGCCGCCTCACCAAGTAGAGCAGAACGTGGACCTGGTGCCTCAGGGTCGAAACAGCGCTGTAGGGCTGAAGGCCAGCTGGGGCAAGGGCTGGGCTCCAGGCGGGTGGAGTGGGGGGCAGTCAGACTGGGTGCTGTAGGGCTGAAGGCCAGCTGGGGCAAGGGCTGGGCTCCAGGCGGGTGGAGTGGGGGGCAGTCAGACTGGAACACAAGCATGCAGATGGTCAAGTGCAGAGCCAGGCCTTTCAGCAGATGAATCGGAAGGAGAGAGGAGTGGAGTGGAGGGGACCCATAGGTTCAAAGTGACTTTGAAGACAGCAAGGATAGGTAGGGCTCAGCTCTAGTGTCTGAGGGTGTCCATTTGGGCATGAACTCTTACATAAGCAAAGCAAGGAGGTAGAAGCAACCTGTTTTGGAAGGACGAGGGGCCTTTGTTTGGGATGGGGCACTGGAGGGACCTTGAGGTTGTTTACACAGGGTATTTGGTTTCTAATAATTTGCTAGGTGTACCTATGCTTGTGTGGCTTTCTGTAACTATTTTCTTTTAAAATTTAAAATTTTCTGGCTGGGTCTGGTGGGTGGCTCATGCCTGTAATCCCAGCACCTGGGGAGGCTGAAGTGGAAGGATTGCTTGCTTCCAAAAGTTTTGAGACCAGTCTGAGCAACATAGTGATACCCCACTTGCACAAAAAATGAAAAAGAGTTAGCTGGGCGTGGTGGCACATGCTTGTAGTTCCAACTATTTGGGAGGCTAAGGCGGGAGAATCGCATGAGCGCGTGAAGTTGGGTTTACAGCAATCTGTGATTGTGCTACTGCACCACTCCAGCCTGAGTGACAGAGCCGGATCCTGTCTCTTGAAAAAGGAAAAAAAAAAAACCCTCAAAAAAAAAATTCTGCAGCCTCAAAAGTTACCTGGATGAATTCTGTGATTAAACTGTGAATTATGTTTTATATACTGCTTTTAATTCTTTAGGAGTTTTTAAAACGTTTGGTGTTATCTGGCTTTTTAATTATATAAAATATATCTGATTTTAAAGTGAACAATATGTGATATATTCAGAAGGCCTAAAATCTCTTCCTGTTCCCTTCCTCCCTCTGTAGGAATTATACACATATACTTGTGTACACAGGCATATGTGTACACATACAGAAGCATCTGTACACACACACACACTTACACAGAGATGTACACACATAGGAACACAGATTTTCATGCCCTCACGTCCTTCACGTACACAGATATGTGTGCATGCAGACATAGGTACACACTTGTGCACACAGATATGTTCACACACCAATATGCACACAGAAACACAAAGGTCCTCAGGTACTTGTTCACAGTTATATATGCATGTTATACACAGATACCCATGTACACATGCATGCACACACAAATACATATATACATGCATGTGCACACAGATATGATGGCACACACACAGCACACACAGGTTAGCCATGCGTGCACACACATGCGCACACAGATACACACATGGGCACATATCCACAAATACAAGTGATACATGCATAGAGAGATGTATGAAGACACGTGAATTCCCTCTCTTCCCTCCCTTGTTCTTAGCTATAATGTATTTTTCTACTTGGAGTGTGCTGCACCTCGCTTCCTTCATTTCACAGTCTACATCCTAGACGTCTTTCCATGACAGTGTATTGCGGTCATCTTGTTTGCTTTACTTTCTTTATTGGCGCATGTGCTCTGTTGTATTCAGCTAGTACTCTGTTTGCTCCCCTTTGTTTCATAACAGTCTTCTGTTATTAGAAATAATGCTGGAAGGAGCAGTCTTGTGTGTTTTTCATTCTGTTCTTTTGCTCTTTTGTCATTAGAATAGGTTCTGAGAAGTAGGATGACAGCGTGGCCAAAGAGGAGTGGGTTTTCCTGAGAGAGTGTCTTACTGTGTTTGAGACTGGACAGGCTTGTGGGCATATGGCAGCGCTTACCTGGGTCTTAGCATTGTAGCTGTGCTTTTATGATTGAATGTTTTTTATGATGGTAAATCTGATATTAGCAAGATAATATCACACATTCTTCGATATTTTTGTGTATTTGTTATTTTGTTATTATCAAAACATAACATTGAATGTAGTTTTTCAAAAATGGAAGAGTGATTAATGTTAAACCTTAATAGGCAAGAACAGCAAACAGGAAATAAGTGATTAAATAAAAATTTTAATGGCCTACATCTTTTCATCAAACTTATTTTGTGAATCAAGGAACATTGTGTAAAATAAAGGGTTTTAAGGATTTTTCTTCCTGGGAATGTCTAGATTGTTATTTCTTTGTCCTACTGTGCCCTGGAATTATTCTTTGATGGCACCTGTAGCTCAGGAAAAACCTTCTGTAACACAATTCACAAGTGGTAAGTTTTTATTCTCTACTTCCAAGGTTCGTGTTTTATTCGAACTGATCAACTAGATGGTGAAACTGACTGGAAGCTGAAGGTGGCGGTGAGCTGCACACAACGGCTGCCGGCTCTCGGGGTGAGCAGCATTGAGACTTCTCCATCCTCTTATTTTTAGTGGTGGTTTCTAGGTTTCATGTATATTTCTGTTTATGCAAGCTATTTTATTTAATGCACTGAGAATGTTTTATAATTCCTTTATTCCTTATGAAGGCAATTCACAAAATTATGCCAAAATAATTTCTGCGATGTCTTAGCACATAATCAGTTTTAGGTAGTTTTGAATTTTCCTTTTGACACTTAGGTTTTCTTTCTCTTTCTCACCTTCCTCCCCTTCCTGCCCCTTCCTGCCCCTTCTTGACCCCTCCTACTGTTCCTCCTCCTCCTCCTGCTCTTAATGTCATTTTTCTTTTTCAATTTATTTTGTTTTTTAAATGACAGGTTGTCACTCTGTTGCCCAGGCTGAAGTATAGTAATATGATTATAGCTCACTGCAACCTAAAGCTCCTGGGCTCAAGTGATACTCTCTCTGCAGCCTTCTGAGTAGATGAGAGTACAGGTGCATACCACCAATGCCCAGCTAATCTTTAATTTTTTTTTTTTTTTTTTTTTTTTTTTTGTAGAGATGGTAGGGGAGCGGTCTTGCTGTGTTGCCCAGGCTGGTCTTGAACTCCTGGCCTCAAGCAGTCTTCTCACTTTGGTCTTTCAAAGTGCTGGGATTACAGGTGTGAGCCACCACTCCCAGCCAGAAACGTTTAGTTTTTATTTGGCTGTTTGCCCCTCTTCTTTGTGATTTTGTATTGATGTTTGCCAGTTAAAAAGTATATTCATGCTCATGTGTGTAGAATCTTTCAAATCAGTAGTACCAGATATTCTCAAATGAATATCCTGTTTTTAATTTTCTCCTTGTTAGGCACATAGAAATGTTTTTCCCCCTATTTTCTCTCTGTACATCACATGGGCTTCATTGGCCTTCAGGTCAGAGGCTCTGTTTGAAAATTGTCCAAGCTGCTTCTCTGGGTCAGGCTTCTCAGTCAAAGCCAGGCAGTGAGTGCTTGAGTGCTACTCAGATGATTTGTTTTCATGAGATTTTGATTTCCAGTGTTCTATGATTGTTTACGTAAATTCTGTAGGATACTATGAATAATTTATATGTTTAGAGTTATTACAGCTTACATTTTTTCATGATCGGTGAATGAAGGAAGGTAGATTCTTCTGTACCAACAGATGAGCAGGTTGGAGAAGTTCGGCTGTTGACAGCTGCCTTTTACCTGCTTTGCGGTGGGTAGAGCCAATGAGGTAGCTGCTAAATCATGAAGTCAGATGCCGGGGAGAGCACCTCCTCCCCTGAGGGTGTGTATGAGGCAGTTCCTGGGTCACACAGTGTGGCTTTCAGGGGAGCTGCCCGACTTTTCCAGAGTGGCTGTGCCGTATCATGTCCTCACCAGCACCGGATGAGTGACCCAGTTTCTCTGTCCTTGCCACCTTCAATGTTGTCACCAGTTTTTATTGCAGTCATCTGACGGTGTGCAGTGCTGTCTGCCTGTGGCTTCAGCCTGCGTTTCTGAGGTGGCCAGTTGTGCTCAACATTGTTTCTCCTGCTTGTTTGCCATCTGCCTGTCCTCTTTGGTGATGTGTCCTGTTGACAGTCTCGGAGCAGAACCATTCTGCCTTCACGTCTGATGCCACCTGCAGCTTGTTCAGGGAGTCCCAGTCAGGGTGAGGAAGGTCTTTCTAGTCCTAGACTGCTGAGAAGTCTTATCCTGAATGGGTGTTAGATTTTTCCAAATCTTTTCTGTATCTGTAGGGATGATCGTGTGGATTTTCTCCTTTATCTATTAATATGATGGTATGTGGTCTGACTTCATTATTTGTTACACCAACCTTGTGTTATTGGCATAAACCTCACCTAGTTATACTGAGTGTCTTTTGATTATGTCACAGTATTTGATCTGCTGATATTTTGTTAAGGATGTTTTGTGCTGATGTTCATGAAAGATAGGGATCTGTATTGCCTTTGTTTAATGTCTTTGGTTGGATATCTAGGGGCAAGCCGGCCTTATAAAGAATTGGGGAGTCTTTTTACCTCCTTTAAGTTTTAAAACAGTTGGCATAAAATTGATATTATTTATTTTTTAAAAGTGTTGAACAAATTCACTTTTGGAACTATCTGATCCAAGAATTTACTTAGTGGGAAAACATTTGATTGTGAATTGAATTTCTTTGGTATAGAGTTAATCAGATTTTCTGTTCATTGAAAATTTGTGTTTTTCAGAGAATTAGTTCATTTTATGTAAGTTGACAACATTAATGACATAAAGTTTATAATATTCTATTATTATTTTTTAGCTCTTCTAGGATTCCTTCTTTCACTCCCAATATTGGTAGTTTATATCCATGATTTTATTGATCATGTCAAAGAACTTGTTTTTGGTTTCGTTGATTATCTTTATTGTTTGTTCATTTTCCGTGTTAATTTCTGCTCGGATTTTATTTGCTTCATTCTACATAGTTTATGTATAATACTATTTTTGTTTCTTCCTTCGTAAGGTGGAAGTTAGACCTTTGATTTTATACCTTACTATTTTCTGTTTATAAACTTTTAGAGCTGTAAACGTCTTTCCAAGCAGTATTTACCTGTGTCACGCAAATTTTGATATTCTGCATTTTTGTTATTTAATTAAAAATATTTTCTATTTCTTTCATGATTTCTTCTTTTCATCCCTTGATTATTTGGAAATACATATTTATTTGCCAAATAGTTGGGGATTTTCCCAGTGTCTTGTAATTTACTGTTATTTAATTCTCTTATGGTCACGGAACATACTGTTCTATTTCAGTCCTTTCATATGTATTGAAACTTGTGATGTGGCCCAGGATAGGAACTGTCTGGGTCAGTATTCCATGTGAGCTTAAAAATAATGTTTGATCTCCTGTTGTCTGGATGTTCTGTAAATGTTCATTAGGTCAAGCTAATGGAAACTGTTATTTTAAAAAATTTTTTCTACCATTTTTTCTCTTAATTACTGAAGAAGAATTTTAAGATCCCATACTTTTTGTAGATTTAACTATTTCTCCTTTTGGCTCTGTTAGTTTTCTTATGTATATTGAAGCACTGTTTTGGGGTTCATATGCATGCACAATTACTGTATTTTCTTGACTTGTCCCTTTTTCATCATTCCTGGTAGTATTCTTTGTTGAGACATCTATTTTGTTCTTTACTATTATAGTAATTCCAGCTTTTTTAAAGTTAGCATTTACATGGTGTATTTTTTCCATCATTTTATGTTTTCATATATATTTCTTTGAATTTAAAGTGTGTTTCTTAATGTAATAAAAGTAGGTACTGCTTTTTCACTCTGAGAATTGCTGCATTTTCTTGTGTACCTTTACTGTAATCATTAACATGGTTGAGCTGAAGTCAGGTATTTTACTCTTTATGTTCTACTCACCCATTTCTTTGTTTCTTTTCTTCATCTTTGGGTGTTGTGTTGTATTTCCATTTCATCACCATTGTCGGCTAATTAGCTATGTGTATTAGTTCTGTTTTGTGTCATTATCATGTTTCCAATATATGTTTTTAACTTACCACAGTCTTTCTCCATGTTACTTACTATGTAGGAGTCTTAACACAGTCTGACATGCCTTCCTTCCCATGCTTTGTATTTGTGTCATTTATCTTACTTCTACATATTATCAGCCTCATAGTGCATTACTGTTTTTTGTTTGAAGTTGTCAAGCATATTTTAAAGAGAGTAAAAAATGAAAACAATCTTTTCCATTTACCCATGTGCTTACCTGTTCTGGGACTTCTCTTGTGTGTTGATCCAAGTTTCATTTACTGCCATTTTTCTTTAGTTCTAAGAACTTCTTACAACATTTCTTGTAGTGAAATCTGCTAGAGATTGTGTCAATTTTTGTTTGTTTGAAAATTGTCTTCATTTTGCCTTTTTCTTTGTTTTCTGAGACAGAATCTCGTTCTGTCAGTAGAGGCTGAAGTGCAATGACCCCATCTTAAGTCACTGCAGCCTCTGCCTCCTGAGTTAAAGCAATTCTTCTGCCTCAGCATCCTGAGTAGCTGGGATTGCAGGCACGTACCACCATGCCTGGCTAATTTTTGTACTTTAAAAATTTTATTTATTTATTTATTTTGTTTAGGGATGGGGTTTCACCATGTTGGCCTGGCTGGTCTTGAACTAGCGACCTCAGGTGATCCACCCACCTCAGCTTCCCAAAGTGCCGCAATTACGGGTGTGAGCCGTTGCTCAGGGCCTCTTTTGCCTTCAGTTTTGAAAGCTGTTTTGAAGTTTTCATTTGACAGTCTTTCTTTTTTATCTCTGCCTTTCCGAGCTTTTCCTTTATCTTATGGCATCCATAGTCCTGAAAAGATGCCTGCAGACCTCTTTATCCCCTGCTTCTTTTTCTGCCTTCAGGAATTTAAGTATGATGTGTTTTCATTTGTCTTGCTTGGGTTTGTTAGGCTTCTTGTATCCAGAGTTTCATGACTTTCATCTGTTTTCAGGATTTTCAGCCCTTTTTTTTTTTTTTTTTTTTTTTAATCTTCCCTCTGCCCAAACCTCTAAATGGGACATGAACAACAGAATTAGTCTAGCTACTGATATCAGGGAAATTAGTCTAACTACTCATCTCAAAAAAAAGACCCAGAAGAAAAGAGCAAGAGCTTCAGTGGGAATATCAGGTAGTTAGATTCCCACATGCCACTGAAGGTCTCTTACTCTTTTTTTCTCAGCCTTTTTCTTTTCCTTCTGTGACTCAATTTTGGTAGTTTCTGTTGCTCTGTTACTGAATTCACTGACGTTTATCTTTTTCAGTGTCTAGTCCTCTCTGAAGCCCACCCAGTGCATTTTGTTGTGCAAGTGTGGTAATCTCTGGATGTTCCACACATTTCTCTCATTTTTGTTGTGTAAATAAGTGTTTTGTTCTTTCCTAATATATAATGGCTTCACTGGACTATTTTAACAGTTTATAATGCTTAATTCCATGTCTGCTAACTTCGTTATCACTGTCACTTTTGGGCATATTCCTATTTAAAATTTTTGGCCCTTATGATAGGCGCAT